TATTTATTTATTTATTTATTTATTTATTTATTTATTTGCAGTACTGGGGATTGAACTCAGGACCCTAAGCTTGCAAGGCAAGCCCTTATTCTACTGAGCTATCTCCCCGGTCCCCCAACCTCAGTATTGAAGGCTCTGTAGGTCATATGTGTGTGTCAACAAATTCTTGTGCACATTCTAGAAAGGTAGGAGACAGGTTAAAAAAGAACTAGATGAATTATGCTTCATATTATAGGGGAACAAATAGTCAGCTATGATGCTTAAAAATAGATTTGCTCCTGTTTTCAAATGTAAGTTTCCTGTGCGCCTGTCTGACTTGGACCTGGTTTCTTTCCTATGCTACTTAGCCCTCCGCCTCCTTGTTCTCTCATTTGTGCGTGGCGCTCCATTAACAACGGTGCTAACTCACAGTAAGCCCCACTGCCACACATCACTCACCATCTGTGTGCCAAGTGCTTCATATATTTACACCTAAAGGGACTGCTCTACCAGTGTTTCAATTGCACACATGTGAAAACTATTGCTTTCAGGCTTAAAATAACTTACCTAGACACAGAAAGCTGGTAGGGAACAAATGAGTCCAATTCGGTTTGAGCTTAAAACCCTGCCCCCCAAGCCCTAACCCCTCCTGTTGCCTCTGGGGACAGGAACTCACATGCACACTAGTGGATGCACGCTTAATACTGCAGACTTCTGAGAGCACGCTTTTGTGGCAATGTATCATGAATCTGTGTTTGTGGATGCAACCTTCTTCAGAAGCATTTACAACTGGTACCATAATTAGGATAAATTATTTCGTAGTGACAAAATGTCTCTTTTGACAAGTGTGCTTCAGTCTTCTGACTGAGACCATCACTGGAATTTTCTCATGAGCTTGGAGGTATGCATTTCAGCTGAGAAGCTGGTAAGATACGGCTCAAGTCGCTTTTTCTCTAGTAGGTATCTGGGTTCCACTTCATCCTTGCCTTTACCACCTTCCTTAGCAAATTTATGAACCCTCTGCATAGACAAAGCCTGCAGTGACCGAGTTTGGTCACACCTTGACTGATGGCTCGGCAGCTTCCCCCAGGTGGCAGGGATGAATCTGCAAGCCATTTCTTTCCCCCAGTCTCGAAACTGATACTTATTTGTGAATTAATACCCCACTCTGAAAATAATTCTTCTGTGGCATATTTCTCACTTAATTTAAAAGAAAATAATATTCTTTGGAGTCTAGAAGAAAATAAAAATGCTCTAAAAATAGAAACCATTTACAAAGCAGATGGACAGTTCATTTATGTCTGATGACCTCTCAGAAAATTTTTCTACCATACAGTTGAGACCCACTCCAAATACTTTTAATCCACAAATAGACCCCACTCCAGATTTTTCATTACTTTACTATGTATGCTTGTATGCTTTTATGACCTTGGTTAAACATTTTACTTGTAGTGGCAATGCAAATGAAAGTTGAACAAACCATTTATAAGGAAAACTGCAATTTCACTGCCTCCAGTCTTTTTTAACAACTCCTTAAAAATTATTTATTATGGAACATGAAGCTCATTGCAGAATTAAAAATAAATAAATAAAACCTTACATCTGTCAAAGTCAGCAGAGCTTTCCGGAAGTCACCAGATGTTTCAGAACTGATGGCATCTCCGAGACTCTTCTTATAAACTGAAACCAGATACAAATGAAATTAAGCTGTGACCAACCGAGAAGCATCATTATAAAGCAGAAAAGTGTCTATATGTCAATATTGGCAAATAACAAGCATCTGGTAAAATAAATCTGCGTTTATTTAACTTCCTGGCACTCTAGCACTGTGAGCAGGAAATATTTTCCAAGTAACAATTACTGCAGCGCGCACCGTGGCGGATGCAAAGAACAGGAGGGGCTGTAGAGGAGGCTCTCTGGATCAAATCACGGTTCATCGCATCTGACAACAGCACTAATTAGGGAACATACAGGAAGGCAACCTGCTCGTTTCCCTTCCAGTTCTCATTATCCTGCTTCTTCCACAATAACGGAACTGTAATATTTAACAAAACCTAATGCATACAGTTTAGAAGCCTCACTCCTAGCCTTCCTCTCATCTAGGTGCACCTCCACGACTGAGCACTTCGCCACCAACCATAGGCAGAGAGTGGGACTCTGCAGGGGCATCTCTCTACAGGGCTGGGCCGTGCCCAGCTCAGTGCTGTCTCAGCCCTAGCTCCCTGTGTGCATACTGATATCCAGAGCTTGGGGTCTGAACTGGATGAGGCTTATTTAGAAGGGCTGCAGCTTAGCAACAGCAAAAAAGCAGCAGGAAGGGCCTGAGTCCCTGAGGATTCTGAAGAGCTACCAAACCAGTCTTAGAAGTACATATACTGCACTTCAAGAAAGCTTCTATCTTATGTAAGACACTGTCATTTTCCTACCTTATTAAACCATATCTTAATCTTAACAGATACACCTGAATTATATTATTTAATATTGCTTAAAAATAAGAATGTCATCTCAAAATACACAATTTTCTCTTCATGCCAGCTGTGTAATCAAATATTTTAATACAAGCTAGTAGCAGCTTCTATTGCATGGCAATTTTATTTTATCTTGCAGTGCAGGGGATTGAACCCAGGGTCTTGTGCGTGCTAAGCAAATGTTCTACCTGCGGGCTCTACCCCCAACCCCGTCTGTCAATTTTAAATCTGTTCTGCTTCACCAATGGAATAGTGAACCTTCTGCAGCCACTGTGTATCTGGTTACAGGTGACACTACTGGCAGTTTGAACTCCACATGATTCTCAGGAAGTCCATGTAAGTCAGCCATTGCAATCCTCATGCTTTTAAATCAGTGAAAGACAACTGTAGAAATTGATGTGACAATATCAAATAGGAAGAACCATGGCAAAGTAGAAATTTCCTCCACACAATTTTAGCTTTTTTATGAACTCTATAGATTTTCAAAGCAATCCATGTAAACAAAATCTATAAATATAACTAATTCTCAACAACATTTAGCAGGTAACATTGTATCTAATACTCACAATACTGTTGCTCCTGCCTTTTACTCTAGTTAGAAAAATATTTCAATTTAAAAACATCAAGCCAAGCTTTCCCTCGACTTTGAAGCTCCCCACTTCTTAGAATCCGGAGGAGCATTTTGCAGTGGTAGAAGCATGCAGACGAGACCCCACAGTCATCTCGTGCAGCCGCCAGGGGCCTCCCTTTACCCAGAGATTTTCCCGGAAATTAGACTATTAAAAAGAAAATGATTTCATTTCATTTCATTTCAATTTGATAACTACTCTATGCATTTCAAAGCACAAGAGAGCACAGAAAACTACATTTTAACAGTGCAAATGTCTGAATTAGAATGGGTTCTTGATCCCTGATTCAGTGTTCTCTCATACACTGTGAACTATGGAATACTGAAAAATTTCAAGATTTCTCTCTGTTATTCAGACTCTTTTCCCTCCTCGTGCTCTATGAGCCACACACGATGCCTGGCCACTTTGTAAGGGCCAAGTTGACACCCTCTTCCACAAGGAAGCACTTATTCTACTGAGCCATCTCCCTGGCCCCAGGTTTCTCCTTGCAGACCCCCACTTCATGTTACATGACCACATCGCTCTTGCCTCACTGAATGCAAGGGGTCTGAGGTGACCAACAGCCAAGGGGAGCCCAGTGTGAGAACTCCTTCTCTGTTAGAAAGGGAATCCTCTGTTTTAGGGAGTGAAACATTCAGAGAAAGAGGAAAAAGAAACAGAGTTCCATTGCTTGCTAGGAAAAGGGGAATCTGGCCATGCCTACACTAGAAGCAAAGGACGAGAGGATGAGAGGCCCTGAGACAGAAGACAGCATGGGCTGTGGGGAGGCAGAGGGCGATCACTGGGTCCCCCTGGCAGTCCCAGGTCCTTGGCTCTACATAGCAGAAGATAAATCCTTCTTGATTTCTTCATGTATCACTAATCTCTAGCAATCAAGGTAGCCTAAGGGCAGCTCTTTTCCATGTAGCCTTACACAGTTCAACTCACACAGGAATTGAGGCTTTGGTAACGTGGCACTCTTATCACTGGTCGCATCTGCCAGATGCAACCCCAAATGCCAGGACTGCCCCCTGGCTCTGAAGACCTCGACCTCAACCCTGCACACACTCATTCCATAAATATCTGAACTTACTCCCCAGTGGCCCTGAGCACTGAGGATACGACAGTGAACAAAACAGACAAGATTGTTCATCGTCACAGTGTGTACATCCTGGCATTGTTGTATGTAAAAGCTGGACTCCACAGAGCTATCTCGGGGCAGGGCCACTCACGAAGCTGCAAGCTCCTAAGAGACATCAGGAACTAAAAAGCCACCAGGTGACAGAGTATGTGGCCTGAACAATTTCTTTTTCATATTTTCAAACCTTGATTGTCAAAGCTCCAAGCTTGAATGTTTCAGGACTGGAACACCAAAGTTCGAAAAAAATCTGCTTGGTATTCATAATTTTGCTCCATAGTGGAACCAATAATCTTACAAGAAAAAATCTTACGGGCTGAGCCACACCTCTCGTCTCCCCTGGGGCACAGGGGCAATGCTTCAGTCCAAGTGCTGGTCTCACCCAGACGACATATAGGGTTGTGTTAATGTGTTAAATCATAAAGCATTCTCACTGCCAGGTGTGGTGGCATACACCTGTAATTCCAGCATGAAGGAGGCTGAGGCAGGAGGACTGTGATTTTTTTTTTTTTGGCACTTTATTTACATAAAATTGTAACTATACCTCCAAAGAAAGCAGTGATACCAGTAGTAAAGCTAAGAGGAAAACTGAAAACAATAATAGAATCAAAGAAATCACTGTGAAATTTGTTAAAGTCTTGGAAAACCTGATTTAGAAGTATAATTTTGGGGCCTCGGGAACAATGATCTAGTTTCCATTATTTCTTTTTTTTTTTTTTTT